GTTTTTCTTTTTTACATAAAATTACTATTAAAAAAAAAAATAAATAATAATAATAATAATGTTACTTTTATATAGTATTATTTATTTTGACATCTTCATCGAGTCAGAAGGTTAATTATTGATCGGGTGGTAATTAAGGATACGGGTAATAAATTACGTTGAAAAAAAATTACGAGATGAGATATTATTATTATTATTATTACACACATTTGTTTACTTTTTCGTCTTTTTCATCCCCGGAAAATGCGAAGAAGAATTTAAGATTTTGGACACGTGGAAAGAAAAAGAAAATGGCTGCCAATGTTTTAATTCGAATACGTGTCCGATCGAAATAGTCTAGAAAAAATGGATTTGTGACAAGCAGCCGACATTATTACGATAACCGATGATGATGATGATGATGATGATGATGATTCTTTTAAATATATAACGAGTTAAATAATTTTTAATGTAACTTTTTTATATATTCTTGGGCGTCGACTTCCGGATGGATGGATGGATGGACTTTGAAACGATGCGAAAGAAATACGAAGGTGTAAGATTTTCTTATAAGTTGACCTTTCGTTTCGAAAACAAAAAAAAAAAAATTTAGTTTAAGTATTAAGTGTGAACCTGAAAAAGAATCGGACAAAAGGGACCTACTACCATCATAGGAATCATTTTGGAATTTTTCAAAGGAGCTACCTGAAAATGAAATCGTGCTTTTGAACTGGAAATTACTTTTTAATGACAAAGGCAATATAAATACTGAAATTATATGTATACGTATACGTACCTGAACACACACAAATATACTTTTTGTGCTTCTAACCAAAATATTTTCCATTTTTTTTTTGTTTTTAAACGAAACAAAAAAAAGCTCGTGCCTTAAAATTTACCTGAGGCTTTTTTTTTTTTTTTTTAAATTTTTTTTATTTAGTCGTAAAGATTAAAAATAATTAAAATTAAATTAATAATTCAATTCCTGCATGAATATTTTGTGGTGGTTTCATTAAAAGGTTCAGTCAGGTTTATGAAAATCATTAATGAAATATTACAACAAAAAAAAAGGGGAAAAGGGGAAAAAGGGAAAAAGAAGGGGGAGGGATTTTTCTGTGATACGATTTTCACCATCTTTGAAAGATAATGATCGGTTATAATTATGATTTAAACCAAAATTACATGTTATAGAACGAGAAGAATGTCGGAACCGCGGTGGTAAACGCCATTTTGTGTGACTCACTTTTTGATGCAGGCATTCTTTGAAAAAAAAGAAAAAATTTCTTCTTTCCCCCTTTCCCCTCACTTTGGGATAATAGAAATGTATAAGGAAATTTTCCAGGTATTTAGAGGTAATGCGGAATGTATTCTTTTCGTTATCATTCATTTCGATACCGATCAAATTATTATTATTATTAATTAATTATATAATTAAAACCCGAGACGTGCTTTTGGTATTGGGTGTGTGTGTGTGTGCGCGACATCAGCGAATTGTCGTTTAGGTTTGTTCAAGATGGTTTGAAGTTTGTGTGTCGTATTTAAATAAAAATCATTTTGCGTTTTTAAAAATATTTTTCTAATAATAATAATAATAATAATAATAATAATAGCGTTGATAAAGTAATGTTGTAGCCAGGTACGGTTTTTCATATATATATATATATTTGAATAAGTGAATGCGTGTGTATGTGTGTGGCACATCATCAATTAATGTTTTTTATTTTATTATTTTGTATAAACCAGGTTTGTCTGGTTTTTTCTCTTTTTTTTTTTTTTTTTTTAGTTTTATAAAAGATTTGATGTTTATTTAAAAAAAAAAAAAAAAAAAAAAACATGGCGGAATTTTATTTATACTAAAATTTAATCGATTTCCACATACATAAAAAACTACGGTTGGTGGTTTATTATAAAAATTATTATTATTATTATTATTTTAATTATTTATTACAGTTTTTAATTTAAATTTTTTTTTTTTTTTTTTTGAAATCCAAGTAAATGTTTTTTTTTTTTTTTTTTAAATAAAATAAAGAATGAATCGAGTTGAATTATTATTATTATTATTTTATTATTATTATGAATTTTTATGTTTATACGAAATGAAATTTTTTTCGCGGCGCCATTTTGTTTTTTAATTTCCTACTAGCAACGTGGGTTCGAATGCGTTGTATATTTTTTATTCTTTTCATATACAAATTTTTAAAAATAAAAATTTTTTTTTATCAAATCTGGTTGTTTATTATTATTATTATTATTATTTCTTGGGTTGATTCACAATTTGACTAGAGGCATAAAGTTTAAAGGTCAAATTCTCTTTTAGGGGCGTGGTGACCTGGACCTTTAAGATGGTGCAAAATAAGAAAAAGAAAATTATTGAAACGTACGGACTCTCTCGAGAGAGCTCGTTTAAAAAAAAAAAAATTAAAGGCTTTCAAGCCCTACATTTGATTATTATTATTATTATGGTCTCTCTCTCTCAAGACCAAAAACCAGTTTTAGGAATGAATCAGTATTTTGCGAAAACTTTTATGAAAGTATTCAGGTGGAGTCGGAATAAAAAAGAGAGAGAGAGAGAGAAATATGTTTTTTTATATATAAAAAATGGCAGGAGGTGATCTGGGAAACAACATTCGATAGCAGAAGTCGAAAAGTTGTTTTTGTTGTTTGTTGTTTGTTGTTGTTGTTGTTTTACGTTGGGTAATTTCCTTACATCAACTTTATAACAACATGTATTATGATATTTCAAGATATAAAACTCGTAGATGGTTGAAATCTATAAAGTCAGTTCCTTATATATAAATAAGTAAAATTTTACTCTTTTTTTTTTCTAGCTACCGAATTCTACGCCATGTTTCTTTCTTCCCCCCCCTCGCCCCTTCGTGATCGACCACAAAACTCGTTGCAATCGATGCCGACTCTAATTTGTTGATTTTTTTTTTTTAATATTCCTAGCAAAAAAAAAAAATACCGCATTTAAATTGCTCGGTTGACCTTAAAGGTTTACGCGTAATTTTTTAAATAATAATAATAATAATAATAGAAAATTCGATAAATTACATGAAATAAATTTTTACGATTTGTTCGATTGCGTTGTATCCATTATCATTAAAAAAAAATTATTTTGTTTGTTTATGTTTAACGATTTTTTTGGGGGGGGGGTTTAATGTGTGGAAAGGGATCTGTGCGTAAAATTGTCATTTTATGAATTTTTTTTTTTTTTAATACTTTATTCATTAAAAAATTTTTTGATCGAGTTTATCCTGTTTAATAAAAACGAAAATGAATGAATGATGAATGGGATTAACAGCTTATCGATTTTTATTATCCTGATTTAAACAAATTGTTTAAATTTTTTTTTTTACCTTCAACGGATTCGTAAAATTATTTAACCGTAAAAAAAAAAAAAAATCTATGTATTAATTAGGCGATAAATTAAATAAGTAAAAATTTAACCGCGTGGAACGTGGAATTTTTTTTTTTTTTTTTTTTAAATTTTGTTTTACCAACCAATCAAAATAATAATAATAATGATGTAGAATATATTTATGTACATAATGACACAAAAAATATTTAGTCGAATTATGAATCAATAAATATATATTTATAATAATTAGAGAGAGGAGAGTTAAAAAATAAAACGATCGATGGTGTGTAAAACCTTGTCCAGTGAGGACAACCGACGCCTAAAAATTGCCACGTTTATTATCATTATTATTTTTTGTAGGTGTGTGTGTGTGTAAGGCAATTCATACGAAATGATTTTCAATAATTCATTCATACACACATTTAAATAGGAATAGGAAAATGAGTATAAAAAATACAAGAAGAATTTTTTTTTCTTCTCTATTTTTATATAATGGTAGCCGGAATTTAATATATATATAAATTTATAAAAAATAAATAAATTATTTTATGTAGAAAATGAATGTTTGATTAAGGGAACCAGTTGTTGTGAAAAAAAAAAAAGAAAAAAAAAAATTGTGTTTGAATTTCAATTTATGATAATTTTGTGAAGGGAAACAATTATTGAATGCAATGTACAACATATAATGGCAAAACGTCACGGTGACGTTCGTTCACCTTTTTTTCTTTCTTTTTTTTTTTTTTTTTTGTATTTATAAAAAATATTATTTAATTTTATTTTTATTTTGAATGGTATTTAAAATCAATGAAACTATCCGACGATGAGTTTCGTTAAATATGCACGTGAGTAAAATGCGTCCGTACACGTGTATGTGTTAGAAATTAATTCGTAATTGTATCATTCGGTTACGTATAAAATGTTACTTTTACTTAAAAGTAATAATAATATAATTGAATTAAATAAATTGTTATTATTGTTTTGTTTTTTGCCGTCGCCATGTTCTTTTTTCAAAAAAAAAAACAAAAACAAAAACAATTACGTAATTTTTGGGGAGGGCAAAAGGAGGGGAGAGAGGAGGAGGGTTTACGTGAATGTAACAAATTGTGAAATTGCAAGCATACCTTAAAATTATACCATTTAGCTGATTCCCAGGTTTATCGGTTACGATATTTAAACTCATGATTTTTTTTTTCTTCCCCATTTTACCAAACAATAATTATTTTGAAAATTGTTTTTTTTTTTTTTTGTTTTTTTCTCGAGTAAGGATTGTCCATTTTAAATTTGATTCAAAATAAACGAATGTAAAATGGTTGACGTATTTTTTTTACATAACGGATTTTTATTCTCTCTCTCTCTTTTTTTTTTTGTTTAACAACGTCAGTGTTGTTGTATGTTTAGGCGATTATTTAAACACACAACACTAATTGTTTAACTCTTTAATAGTTGTTTCATTTATGCTGTAAAAAAAAAAAAGCTGAGCTTTCTGTGAGCGCAAGTTCCTGTAAATTGTAATTTTTTTTTTTTTTTTATGTGGGCGACAAAATGGTGAGCGTTGTACATCTTGACGTAATTTCTCATACGATTCGGCATCGTTTTAAATGTCTCGTTAACGTCCTCCAAACAATTTTCTCTCTCTCTCTCTTTCTTTCTCCCTTCAAAAATGGATGATTTGATAATTGTCGTTTGTATTTATCCGAACAATTTATTTTACCATTGCATAGGCGTAATTTCCCTCTCCGTCTCTCTTTTTGACTCTGTTATGTTAATGCGTATGAATTTAAATGCAAATATTTTATATTTTATTTTATTTATGCCGTTATCATTTTTATCATAATCATCATCATCATCATGATGTTTGTGAGTCATTCATGCATCGTAATAGATAATAGATGAGAGAATAACCAACCTGCACGGCGAACTTGAATATTTTAGCAAAGTCGTGCTTTAAAAGAATTTAACAACAAAGAAACCAAAAAAAAAAAAAGTCAACAAAATAATAAAAGTTCGAGTGGGATCAAATAGTATTATTATTATTATTTATCTGTAAGAATGCCTTGAGTAAGGTTCACGTGAAACAGTCAAGTATTTACCTGTAATAAAAAAAAAAAGGAAGTCGAAAGAGTTAATTTTGCATCATTTCCTTTATTTAATAATTTACGTATAGAAAATTACGGTACAAATTGTTATCGAAATAATAATAATAATATTATATTGCTTTTTTATTCTAGTTGCACGTCAAAATACGTCGGAGAATATTGTCAACATTTGAATCCGTGTCACACGGGTCCAGGTCCGAGGTGTCAAAATGGAGGAGTTTGCAAAGTGAAAACATCTCCAAACGTGTTGCCATCATTCACGTGTGCTTGTCCCATAGGATTTTCAGCATCACTCTGCGAAATCCCCGTCGATAACGCTTGCGATAGTAATCCTTGTACAAATGGGGGAACGTGTTCGCTTAAAAGTTTGGACAGTTATAATTGCACGTGTGCACCTGGATTTACCGGTAAAGAAATTTTTTAAAATTCATTTTTTTTTTTTTTTTTTTTAGTTTGAATCGCATGTTGTGTTGTCTGCACAATATTCGATTGTGGGAATATTTTTTTTTTTTTTTTTTTTCAAGACGAATTTTTGTGCGTGATGAAAAAATTGTTTTTTTTTCTTTTGCTAAATTTGTCTCTCTCTCTCTTTTTAAAGGTATTATTCTTCCTTTACTAATTGCGTTTTTTAACCCGTGAACCCGAGTAATTTCTTTTTTTCAAATTGCATTGCCTGAATTCGATTAAATTACTGCGTTTAAAAGCCTAAATCAGTTATTTTCAATTTAAAATTCAATAAAATTTTTTAAAAATTTCATTTCGTTTAAAAAAGAAATGTTTATATGTAGGAAAAAGTTTCAAAGAATTATATCGTATTTTTTATTTTAGGACAATTTTGCGAATTGCAAGATTTTTGCGCTTCAACCCCTTGTAAAAACGGAGCAAAATGTGAATCGTTAGAATCAACATATCAGTGCCAATGTCCTCCAGGTATTTACGGATCGGATTGTTCGTTAGACGTTGACGAATGCAGCAGCAATCCTTGCATGCATGGAAATTGTGTTAATACGTTCGGTTCATACGCGTAAGTATTTATTTTTATTATAATTTTACGGTTGATAATAATGATAAATGAAGAAATTAATATTGGTACGATAATTGTCGTGGTATTAGAATGAGGAAGGGTTCTTTTCAAATAGTTATTGTTAAATTTTGAAAGGGCACGAAGACAAAACGATTGACGCCTCCCTAAATCTTATCTGTAAAATTTTTATCAATTAAAAAACTACGACGCATTCATTTAGGGGAATTACCCGTAAACGATTTTGATAAATAAGTTTTACAATTTTTTTTTTTTTTAAAGAATAAATTGCAGCATTTATGCTTTGTGTACTTCCTTCCTTAAATAAACCGAGGGCTATTCGATGAATTTTCTTTTTTTCTCTCTCTCTCTCTCTCTCTCTTTTTCTCTCACGCTTTATAAATGATTTTATATTTTTTTAATTTAATTTTTATCACGTGTAATTATAAATTTTTATAATGTCATTTCCTACGGGAAAAAAAAAAAAATTTTTTTTCAAAAAAAAATATCACTTTTTCATTTACTTTGTCCGACGACCATATGTTTTTAATTAAAGTCGTCAAACGGCGGGTAATTTTTTAAAACAAATATTGGCAACCCTGTTTTTTTTTAACGTTGCGTCACTTTCGTTAAACCACGACGCTCGCTCTTCTTAATCCTTCTTTTTATTGTGTGTGAACCATTTTGTGGCGGTAAAAATTTCTATTAACTGAGATGTTTTCTGATATTTCGATTGGAATTCAAGGTGGGCTGGTTTTTTTTTTTTTTTAACAAACAATTTTCCTTTTGTATAAAGAAAAAGTAATGGAATGGATCTTTGATATTGAAAATATAATTTAATGTTATTTAATAATCGACCACGCGCTTTTCTAGTCTTGCAGTCATTATAATATAAGATAATAATGATTTTCTTTTTTTTTTTTTTTGAAAAGCTAAAGTCTAACTTCTTTTTTAAATAAATTTTATGTTTTTAATGTATAGTGAGTGTAGGGAAAAAAAAAAAAATTGATTTTATTTATGGCAAAGGAAGAAACATAATTTTTCTGATTGGAAATTGAAAAAATTGTTGATAAATAGTATGATTGAATTTCTAATAAAATTTATGTCTGTCTTTTTTACTAATTATTTTTCTTGTCTTACACACATACAGGTTTATGTTTTTCATAGGTTTTCTCTAAATATTTTATTGTCCTGACAGTAATTTGTTAAATTTATCGTATTGAAGATTACTTATTATTGATTTTAATAATTTTTTTTTTTTTTTTTTTTTTTATTGATTGTCTGTGATGGTTATAAAATTTTGTTTTCCTTTTTTTACAAAACATCAAATAGAATAGTAAAAACAAAATATCTTCTATCTTACAAGCATTTATTTTTTAATCATAGGAACTGGGTGGTCACTTATTCGAATAAATTTTGATCTTGCAAATTAATGTTTAAATTTTTTACCAACTTGTAATTATGGTCGATTGTATTTTTATTTTTTATTTTTGGTTTCGTTTATTGTTCTTAAATGAATACTTAAATATTGTAATGAAATGTATACTTGTTACAAGGAAATAATAAGGAGTAATGGTAGAAAACGATGGGAGTTTAGCCAAAGCTAAAATGATTTGAAGTGAAAGGTCTGATTAGTTTAATCGTTTTCCAAAGCAAGTTCATCTTATAATGTAGTTCTAACAGTATATTGAAATCAGGGTGTTGGGGGGAAAGCACCAGAGTCGATATTGACAATACTAGTAGAAGGCTTCTTTCCTTAAACACAATAAAGAAAAAAAAATGCAAAAAAACATTTCGAACAGTCATAAAGTAAAATTTTGAAAGGGATACATTTGCCCAGCACATGGTTTTCATAAGCCTTCATATTACCAAATGTGATTTAGTTTTAAAGTTTATTTTGCTAAAACATAATTGACTTATTTACATCTAACTATCCTTTAAAATGTGAATAAAATGATTAAAATAAGATTAGTTCTACCTTGCATACTAAGGGCTTTTGTCAAAATTTTTAAAATATTAAAATTATTACAGGTTACCACAGGTTTATCCTTTTCAAGACTTAGGTTTAGTGAAACAAAAAAAAAAAAAAAAAGGTTTAAAAAATGTTTAATGTTATAATTTATAGTTTGAAATGTATATAACTATGTTTTTCTTGCCAGCCTTTTATATAATTAATAGGTTTATCAAATACCTTCATGTGAAGGCAGTGAACTTACTTGTTTTATTCAATTTAAAATAAATGGATAATATGACTCCGTTTTTTTTAAATGTTTCTCTTCTCTCTCTCTCTCTCTCTCTCTCTCTCTCTCTCTCTCTCTCTCTCTCTCTCTCTCTCTCTCTCATTCTATTTTATCTTTCTTTCTTTTTTTTTTTTTTATTAATAACATCTTCTAACCATTGGTTTTTACAAAGACTTATTATCCGGTGGCTGTATGTAATAATGCTATATATGGTCAACAACATGAACGGTAATTTTTTTTTTTTTTTTTTTTGTATAAATGTGGCATTGATTGATTATTTTCTCTTTGCTTTCCACGGTTGCCATTTTTCATTTTGACAGAATCAAAATTGTTGGCTTTTAAAAATTTCAGAGCAACGATAGAGATAATAATAATAATAATAATAATAATAATAATAATAATAATAATAATAATAATAATAATAATAATGATCAATTTAAATTTTTTTTTTTTTTTTTAATTCTTTCACTCAAATTCATAATTCATCAACTGGTGTGTCTTGTGGAACTTCCACCGTTTATAAGAAGCCGTTTAATTTATTTTTTATTTTTTTTTTGTTGTTGTTGGTAAAATCAATTTTTTATTAAATAAAATCTTTATTTATTTATTTATTTATTTATTTATTTTCAGATGCATTTGTGATCCGGAATTCACGGGGAAAAATTGTGAAAGTGAATATATACCGTGTAATCCATCGCCTTGTAAAAATGACGGATTTTGCAAAGAAATCGATTCTTTGACATACGAGTGCAAATGTCCTCCAGGTATGTTTATAATATTATTATTATTAACACCACTATCGCCATCATTACCATCATCATCATCATCGTGAAGTATTATGGATTTTAATGCGTTCGGGAAAATGCTTTTTCTTTTTGTTAAAGAAAAAATTAAAAAGTGTTGATGATAATCTTAAAAATTTCATTTGGTGTTGGGCATTAAATACGATTAAATGGAATTTTGTCATAATCATTGCCTCATGTTTTGAATTTATTTTTTTTTTTTTGTCGTCATTTTAAATATTCGAATGGTGTCGGCCTGATTTTTTTAAAAAATTTTTTAAAGGTGTTTTAATTCATTTTATTTTTACTCCATGTTTGTTTAAAAAGTAAGATTTAATTTTTAAAACGAGTTTAGTTTAATCCCCTTCATTATGTTTTTTTTTTTTTTTTTTTTTTTTTTTAAATATTATTTTCAACCCACATTTGTTGTACATTGAAGCTCTGGTTTTTCGCAAAAATAGGTTTTGAATGAAAGCAAATAAAATTTTTATTATTGCGGTGGTTTGGAAATTTATCCATTTAAAAAAAAAAAAAAATCTTTGAAGATGTTGAACTTCAAATGAAGATATCCCTGAACTCATTTCTTCTTATAGCGCTTTAAATGTTTTTTATATATATATATATTTGCGTGTGGTAAAGGCTGTTGTCTGATAGGTTTCCCCCCACCCCCCCCCACACACACACACGCCCGCTTCCGAATTTGTAAATTTTAAATATGGCGAATCCTTATTTATTTATTTTTTTAAGAAGAAAAAGACAAGAGAGAAAATGAAATACCATCTAAATAAAATTATTTTTTTAAAAAAAAATCTGGTTGTTTGATTGTTTGTTTGTTTGTTTGTTGGTACCTTGTAGGACGTGTGCCTCGAGCAATTTTTTCTACTGGATTTTAATCACTCATTTTTTTTTTTTTTTTAAAGGCCGGTTATATACACGTCATTGAAAGTAATTTAAGTTCCCACGCTATGAAAAAACAACCTCACTACTGTTACTGTTTTTTTTTTTTTTTTAACTTGTATCAATAATAAAAAAAAAATTTTCATTTATTTTTTTTCCCGGTTGAGAGAACATAAAATTTGTGATGATAATTTTTTCGTACATGGTTGATATATTCTTCGTATTCGAATCGTCGGTTGTATTTCATCAATTGTCGGAATTAAGATTTTTTTTTTTTTACAATGGATATTAATAATAATAATTGATTTTGATGGAATGGTCAATTTAAATTATTTGAGCGTAAAGTTATCTGCAGAGAAAATTAAACGATGGTGCTGCATGCATTCATTTCTTCATTCACAAATAAATAAAACATTTTGTGATGTAAAAAAAAACATGGGGATTATGTACTTGTTTGATTTGATTGAAAGATTTTTGACGAATGTGGCGAACTTTGACGAAATGTGACCGGATTTTAATATTTTGACACGATTTTTTTTTTTTTTTTTTTTTTTTAATACCAGAACGTTGAACTTGGAAGAACCAATTGGCAGAGAAAGAACCGTCATTAAATTTGTCGCTTTGAAAGAAAAAAAAATAAAAAAAAAAAAAAATTTACCTTTGAATAATTTGCATTTAAATGTGAATTTGTTGGATGAAAGTACATATAAATGTTTCCATTATTCTCGTGTATTTACTTTGAAGGGAAAATTAGATTGATGAAGTCCCCCCCTTTTTTTTTCTTAAATAAGAAGACAAGGGAAGGGAAAGCACAGAAGGGGAGGGTCAAAAAAAGGACCAAGACCGATTCCATCCGATTTTGTTGAAAATAAATGGCGATTTTGTTTTTCTGTTTTGTATTTGTTTGAAAGCTCATTTCGGGTTTTTACACGAGTCAAAGTCTTGAATTTTATCTTTTTTTTTTTTTTTTTTTTATGCAATGAAACTGGATGTGGTTGCCGAGTGAGAATGATGGTGTATTTTTAACTTTGTTGCGGTTGGTCCTGTCAAGGATTGCGCGGGCGTTTTTATCTCCGTCCGTTCACAAGGGAACCGCACCGTGAGACCGGAACTTGATAGCGTTACCCAAATATGTCGTTGATAACTTTACAAAAATAGTAAGGAAAAAATAATGATAATAATAAATATGAAAGAGAAATAAATGCCACCAAAATGCATGTCCGCAAACGTAATGCCCACTGGAAAATGTGGAGAGAAAAAAAAAAAAGAAGTTTTGAGTACGACAATATGTGGAGGGAATCAAAAGGCCTTTTTTTGGGCTTTTTTCCTGCCGAAGATGAAGTTAGGTAGATTAGGTTTGGTGCGTCAAAAAATTGCGTGCACGATGAATGACAGTTGATAATTCGTATTTCTCAAACGGTGTAATTTTCTACGTCAAAAAAAAATCAGGTTGTAAGTGAGAGGCAAAAATGTTGGAATATCGATAAACGGTTGCTGTGAAATAAATCGTGTGTTCGTAGCGATCCCTCCAGGATCACGGGTAAAGAAAAATTTGACATAATTTAAATTCCATCGATGGTTTAACATTTCGATGATGCTATCTATCTATACCTTGATTAAATCCTGTTTTAAAATATTTCGTTTTAGGTTTCCAGGGGAAAAATTGCGAAGAAAACATCGATGACTGTCCGGGAAATCTTTGCGAAAACGGTGCAACTTGCATAGACGTGATAGACGGATATACCTGCGCTTGTCCCCCGCGGTTCACCGGAGAATATTGCGGAGAAGACGTGGATGAATGTTCAATAAGACCCAGCGTTTGTCAGAACGGAGCTACATGCACGAACACTTTAGGTGAGTAGTCTTTTATCCTGTTTATTTGTCTGAATATTTTTCCGCTTAACAGTCGATTAACTCTTTAATAATAGCAAACGTTCCGACTTACTACTTGGTGACTTTCTTTCCCCTCGGTTACAAACACTTGTTAAATTATTATTATTATTTTTATTATTATTATTATTTATTTTGTACAAGTGTACGTACGTATGTATGCATAACGTTCTTTCTTCGGTAAGAAGACATGAAACGAAAAGTGGAAAAAGTAAGTCGTGCACCATCCACATTTTTTTGTTTAAAAAAAAAAAAAAAACATTTTCACGTTTCTTTTAGTGTTAAATTATAAACCTTAATTAAATTTTACTTTATTACATTCTTGGGCTCACAATTAAAAACCTTTTTATAAGATTATTTCTGACGCGGGTTTCAGTTTTTTTTTATTTTTTTTTTTATTTTCACATTTAGTCTTAAATTATATCCTTTTATGTTTTTTCAGGCGGATTTTCATGCATTTGTGTTAATGGATGGGCGGGACCCGATTGTAGCACCAACATTGATGATTGTGTGGGTGTCGCTTGTTTTAACGGTGCTACCTGCATAGATCGCGTTGCTAGCTTTTCATGTAGATGCACCCCCGGAAAAACAGGTTTACTGTGCCATTTAGACGATGCTTGTACATCTCAACCCTGTCACGTAGATGCTACGTGTGATACAAGTCCAACAAATGGTAGTTACACGTGTTCATGCGCGTCCGGGTATAAAGGAGTCGACTGTTCTGAAGACATAGATGAATGCGCTCAAGGTACGAAAGCCAAGCGGCTTTTACTCGTTAGTGGTTTGTTGATAATTAAATTTTTTTTTAGTATTTTTTTTGTCACTTGTTTCCGTGCCGATATTGTGAAGTAGTAATACGTCGACTAAAAAAAATACTGTTATATTTGTAATTGTGTAAATTTGTTCACAGTCTGTGTTTTTGTTTGATTAAACAATGCAATTTCCGTTAGCATGTTGATTTCTATTGGCATAATCAATACTGCTGATTAATTGCAAATATTAAGTCAGGAAATAGTCAGAACCTTTGGAATTTTAATATTCTTATCGGCTTTGAAATTTCCTACAAAATTAATTAATAATAAAAAAAAGAAAAGAATATTTTTTTTTTAATGCTTGCGTTTTTTTATTATTTAGGATTTCCTTGTGAACATGACGGTATTTGTGTAAATACACCTGGAAGCTTTGCTTGCAATTGTTCTCAAGGTTTTACTGGTCCTCGATGTGAAACAAACATCAATGAATGCGAATCACATCCTTGTCAAAATGATGGTTCGTGCCTGGATGATCCAGGAACTTTCCGTTGTGTTTGTATGCCTGGTAATTTTTTTTTTTTTTTTACATTTTTATTAAACTCACCAATTTAAAAAAATTTTTTCTTTTTTAAAACGTTTTTAAAAAATTAAAAAATTTAATGTCGTTTAGGATTTACGGGAACTCAATGTGAAATCGATATTGACGAGTGTCAGTCAAAACCGTGTTTAAATGGAGGCGTTTGCAACGATTTAATCAACGATTTTCGGTGTACGTGTGCAAACGGATTTACGGGATACAGATGTCAAATAAACATCGATGATTGTGTTTCCAATCCTTGTCGTAATGGTGGATACTGTCAAGATTCGATTGCTGGATATACTTGCGAGTGTCCCTTGGGTTTTACAGGTAAATTTGACGGAATAATTTTTTTATAAATTATTTAACTTAGAAAGTGAAATAATTATTCAAAATTAAATTTTAGGTATCAACTGTGAGATAAATATAAACGACTGTCAATCTTCCCCGTGCCATAGAGGCGAATGTATCGATGGTGAAAATTCATTTACCTGCAACTGTCATCCTGGATACACTGGGTATTTGTGTCAAACTAAAATCAACGAGTGCGAAAGCGATCCTTGTCAATACGATGGACACTGCGAAGATCTTATTAACGGTTATCAGTGTCGATGCAATCCCGGAACGTCTGGTCAGAATTGTGAAATAAATGTTAACGAATGTTACAGTAACCCTTGTCGAAATGGAGCTACGTGCGTTGACGGGATTAATAGGTAAGCGATCAAATTTATTAATGTATTATTGCTTTCGAAAATTGTTTAAACGTTTTATCGTATTCTTAATTTGTTTTTCAGGTATTCTTGCGAATGTATGGCAGGATTCACGGGTCAACATTGCGAAACGAACATCGACGAATGTGCCAGTAGCCCATGCGCCAACGGTGGAAAATGTATTGATCAAATAGGAAGTTTCAAATGTGAATGTCCTCGCGGTTATTTCGATGCTAGATGCCTCAGTGATGTCGATGAATGCGCATCAAATCCGTGCCTTAATGGAGGATCATGCGAAGATGGGGTCAATCAATTTATTTGCCATTGTCCGCCAGGCTTTGGAGGTATTTATCGTTTTTTAATGTTCAAATCAATTTAATTGTCATTTTAAATATTTTTATAAATACTTATTCGTGCGTGTAGGAAAAAGATGCGAAGCGGAAACTGATGAATGCGGTTCCAATCCTTGTCAACACGGTGGAACCTGCAAGGATCATTTAAATGCGTATACGTGCTCGTGCAAATTAGGATACACGGGTGTAAATTGCGAAACAAACATAGACGACTGCGCTGTAAATCCTTGCAGAAATGGAGGCTCTTGCATCGATTTGGTCAACGATTATCAATGCGTGTGCGTTTTACCCTTTACTGGAAGAAACTGTCAAGAAAAACTTGATCCCTGCGAACCGAATAGGTATGTTGACATCCAAAAAATTTTTTATTTTTGGTAAAAACGTGTTATTGATGTATTTTTAATAAGTATTTAATTTTAAATTTAATTTTTCTAGATGTTTTCACAACGCCAAGTGTTCTCCTTCCTCAAATTTTAAAGACTTTGCTTGCTCTTGCACGATGGGTTATACAGGTAGATTATGTGATGAAGATGTTAATGAATGTTTAATTTCATCTCCTTGTCGAAATGGAGCTACTTGTATTAATACCAACGGTTCATACCATTGTCAGTGTGCCAAAGGATACGAGGGACAAGATTGTGTCATAAACACCGATGACTGCGCTTCATGTAAGTTTCATAACAATTGTTTCTTTTTTTTTTTTTTTTTTTTTTTTGTATTAAAAACTGTTTTAACGTAATTTTTTTTGTTTTTGTTTCCTATAGCACCTTGCCAAAATGAAGGGACTTGTTTGGACGATATTGGAGATTATACTTGTCTTTGCATAGAAGGATTCGATGGGAAACAATGTCAAATTGACAAAGATGAATGCTTGTCAAATCCTTGTCAAAATGGAGCCACTTGTAATCAGTACGTCAACTCCTACACATGCATATGTCCATTAGGATTTAGTGGGATCAACTGTCAGACCAATGATCAAGATTGTACGGACAGCAGTTGCTTAAATGGTGGGCAGTGTGTCGATGGAATTAACAATTACACTTGCATCTGTCCTCCAGGGTAAATGATGATAAATTTTTAAGTAAAAATTTTTTTATTTTATACACTTTCTGTAATTAACTAATATTACCTGTAAAAAAAAAATTTTTTTCAGATATACCGGCGCTAATTGTCAATATAGAATAAATGAGTGTGACAGTGAACCTTGTTTGAACGGAGCTACCTGTCACGATCACATTCATTATTACACTTGTCACTGTCCGTACGGATACACGGGTAAAAGATGCGAACAATACGTTGATTGGTGTGCAACCGATCCTTGTTACAACAAAGCAACTTGCTTGCAAAAGGAAAATAAATATACGTGTGTGTGCGCTCCCGGATGGACGGGTAAAGTTTGCGACGTTGAAATGGTTTCGTGCAAGGATGCCGCTATTCGTAAAGGTAAACTAATATTTCTCGCTTTGTTCGACAAATATTTTCTAAAAAAATTTAAATTTTATTTGTTTACAATTTAATGATTGAAATATGAATAATTTTAATTTTTTTCTAAAATATTTTTTTAAGGAGTATCAAAAGAAGAACTTTGTAACAACGGAACTTGTGAGGATATCGGTAACAGTCACAGGTGTCATTGTTTAGATGGTTACACTGGAAGTTACTGTCAGCATGAAATTAACGAATGCGATTCAGCGCCGTGTCAAAATGGAGCCACGTGCAAGGATTTGATAGGCTCATATTCGTGTCAGTGCGCCAAAGGTTTTCAAGGTCATAACTGCGAGTTGAACGTCGATGATTGTCAGCCGAACCCTTGCCGAAATGGAGGAACATGCCATGATTTTGTGGATAATTTCACTTGTTCTTGTCCTCCAGGTAAAAAAAAAAAAGAACTTATTTATTCGTTTCGGCACGAAAGAAAAAAAATACTCTTCTAAACATATTTATAATTGCTTTTAAAAATTTACAAATGAGTCCCAGTGCTTTACATTTGCATTTGCAAGAGCAGCCTGTTGCATTTTCATCAGGATTGATATTAAGATTTGTCATAATTCTGAAAATAAAATAAATTTTTTTAAAATTTAAATTAGGCACTCTTGGAATTTTATGCGAATGGAATGTTGACGATTGTGTACCCGGTGCCTGTCACAACAATGGAACTTGTACGGATAAAGTTGGAGGGTTTGAATGCAAATGTCCTCCAGGTTTCGTCGGACCTCGTTGTGAGGGAGATATTAACGAGTGTTTATCTAACCCTTGCTCGCACACTGGAACTCAAGATTGTGTTCAACTTATAAACGATTATAAGTGTAATTGCAAAATAGGTAACTTTTTTTCCCCCCCCCCAATTAAGCAAAATCATATTTATTTAAAAAAAATTATAAATTATAAATAAATTCCTTTTTTTTTTTTTTAACACAAGGATACATGGGACGACATTGTGAAGCAAAACAAAATTTTTGTGAAAGTTCACCGTGTCAAAACGGAGGAATATGTTCTCCGGAAGAGGCCGGACACTCGTGCGTTTGCGCAAACGGATACTATGGGAAAAATTGTCAATTTTCGGGATCTGATTGCGATTCAAGTCCCTGTTTGAATAATGGAATTTGTAAACTATCCGAAGGTGGAGGGTACCGATGCGAATGTCAGCCAGGTATGATAGAAATACATTTTCAAAATTGCCAAACGAGAAAATGAACAAAATACCAGTAAAGTATTTTTAAAATTTTTAGGTACCGCCGGAAATTATTGCGAATTGGATGCTCGAAACGAATGTGCCAGCAATCCCTGTCAACACGAAGCCGCATGCCAAGATCTTGTCGGCGATTACAATTGCTTTTGCCCTCCTTCTTGGACGGGGAAAAATTGTCACATTTACGATATAACATTCAAGGGAGGCATCGGAAGAAACACCCATAGAGTAAGAATTTTCGAGAAAAAAAAAAAAAAAAAAAAAATGTTCGATGATAAATTTATCATTATTGATAATTATTAAATCATAATTTTTTTTTTTTTATTTTACAGCCCAAGCATCCTCTAACGACGTTGTACGACATTGATTTCGAGAGAGAAAAAGAAAAATGCATAAAAAATAATTGCCGGGAAAAATCTGGAAACGGAAAGTGTAACGAAGAATGCAATACAAGCGCATGTCTTTTTGATGGAAACGATTGTTCTTTCGGATTGAATCCCTGGAGAAATTGTACGGCTCTAATTGATTGTTCGAAAGTTTTCGGAGATCTCGAATGTAACGAAGAATGTAACAATGCTCAATGTCTTTTCGACGGAAAAGATTGCGATACAATAATTGAGCCGTGCAAGTGAGTATTTTCGTTAAAGGAAGGGAAAAAGTTTTTATTTAACGCGACTTTTACTAATATAATTTTTTTTTTTTTTTTTTTTTAGTCCGATTTTTGAAGCCTACTGTAGCAAACATTATGCAGACGGAAAGTGCGACACTTGGTGCAACAATGTAGGATGTAATTGGGATGGTTTAGATTGCGAACAACAATTGCAACCGACTTTGGCAACGGGAATGATATCGGTTATTGTTTTAATGGACATGCAAACGTTCAGAAGTAACATACGACCATTTTTGAGAGAGGTAATTATTATTATTATTATTATTACTCGAGGCAAAAGCGTTTCAAGCTGAATCCTCATTTTACTATTATTATTTGTTTACAGATCGGTATACAACTAAGAACATCAGTCAGAGTTAAACAAGATCTTTTGGGCAACGAAAGGATTTACCCGTGGAAACCTGGCGGCGAACCCAGTGCGTCATCGTCCTACGGTGGCGTTATTGCTTATTTAGAAATTGACAATAGTAAATGTATCAAAGACGAGAGCGAGTGTTTCACGTCTGCCAACGAGGTACGTTTGACAAAAATTAATTATTTTTTTTTTTTTTTTTTTTTTTTTTTAAACACCAAACATTTACAGTTACAGTTTCCAACTTATTGATTTACATACCTTTTAAAATAATAATAATAATAATAATGATATTGTTTTTGTCACCAGTTAATTTGTAAACTATTAAAGCTTAGCTTAAACTGAACTTTACTTACTAGCTTAAAAATAAAAACTCATCCTTATATAGTTTATACATTACGGAGCATATAAATGAGGTACGAGGGATTACGTACGACGAAGTTTAATTAAAAATGAAAAAATGAAAAGTTGACAGGGGTCACGTTATTTCCTGTAGTGTATATGGTGTGTTGTCTTGCAATTATTCAAGGACGAAAAAAAAAAAGTCTTAAAGTTTTATTTTTGTAATTGTTATAATTATTTAGTCAGTTTAAAAAAAAAAAAAAAAAAAAAAGAAAAAAAAAAAATCACAGTTAATTTTTTTTACAGGAAAATCATGTCGGAAATATTATTTAGGTTTTTTAAATTTGTTTTCAGTTGTTTTGTTTCCCCGCATTGATTTATTATTATTTTTTAATTTGTAAAAAAAAAAAAAAAATTTAAATTAATTATTTTTAGGCTGCTGATTTTCTTGCTGCCAGAAAAGCGACTCATACGCTGTCGAAGGCTTTTCCAATATATAAAGTTCAAGGAGTCACGGGTGCATCCGACGATGATGTTCCGACAAATGCCAAATATGTGTTCATTGGAGTTTTCATTGTGATATTTTTGGGACTTTTGGTCGGAGTCCTCGTGACGGCTCAACGAAAACGTGCTCATGGTATCACGTGGTTTCCGGAAGGTTTTCTTCGAAATACCAGGTAATAAGAAAAATTCCAAAAAAAAATTGCATTCCATCAATTCGATTGAATAAGTCGAAATAAAATTTTTTTTTTTTTTTTTTTTTAAAGTGGTAGCGGACATAGGAGGTCTAGAAGAAGAGGTCCCGATGGACAGGAAATGAGAAATTTAAATAACAAGCAAAGTTCTCTAAATCCATTGGATGTTGAATTGCCGCCTAATGGAATGGGTCTTCCTCATCCCGGTCAGTGGTCCGACGACGAATCGGAAATAGCAACTCCCAAGAGAATGAGACTATGTGATCAGGGGTATGCTAGCGATCATACGGCCATTACCGATTATGGAGAAAAAGAACCGAGAATGTGGACTCAGCAGCATATGGAAGCTGCTGCAGCGATACAGCAGCCGGCTATGCTGACTCCTCCAAGCATGGTTTGTGTTTTTCTTCGATAACGATGTTTTTATTTATTTATTTTTTTTTTCCCTTATTCGAAAATTGAATTCATTTCTTACTTTATTTTTTTTTTTCTTCAGGATGATGGTAACAACGTAAATGCTCGTGGGCCATTGGGAATGACACCGCTAATGGTGGTAGCAGTGCGAGGTGGAGGCATAGATACAGGAGACGCAGATTGCGAAGACGATGGTACGGCTCAAAAAATTGCTGATTTAGTTGCTCAAGGTGCTCAATTAAACGCTACAATGGATAAGACTGGTAAATTTTTTTTAACAAAACTTTTTATTGAGATATTCTTCAATGATCTTTAAAAAAACTTTAATTTTAAAAAAATTTTCTCAGGTGAAACTTCCTTGCACTTGGCAGCTAGATACGCTAGAGCTGATGCTTCTAAGCGTCTATTAGATGCGGGAGCAGAAGTTAATTTGCAAGATAACACGGGAAGAACTCCTCTTCACGCTGCCGTTGCCGCGGATGCAATGGGAGTTTTCCAGGTAGGTACCCGTTTGATTAAATTTATTGTTCAATTATTCGTAGTCATAAATTATTTATTATAAAAATTTCATTATTTTTTAGATCTTGTTAAGAAACCGAGCCACAAACCTTAATGCTAGAATGCATGACGGAACCACTCCTTTGATATTGGCAGCCCGTTTAGCCATCGAAGGAATGGTCGAAGACTTGATAAATGCCGATGCAGATATAAATGCTGCGGATAACAATGGCAAAACTGCTTTGCACTGGGCCGCTGCCGTCAATAACGTCGATGCCGTGAACATTCTTTTAGCACACGGAGCAAACAGAGATGCTCAAGACGACAAAGACGAAACTCCCTTGTTCTTAGCGGCCAGGGAAGGAAGTTACGAAGCTTGTAAAGCTTTGTTAGATAATTTTGCCAATCGGGAAATTACAGATCACATGGATAGACTTCCCCGCGACGTAGCCGGAGAGCGGTTACATCACGATATTGTGAGGTTATTAGACGAACACATTCCTAGAACTCCGCAAATGACAACCATGATTTCGAATGGTCCCATTGTTGGTAAGTCAATTGATTAAAATTAAAAAGGAAAAAATTATGGAAAGAAGAACAAATATTAATCGTTTTACATTTTCGAATTTCAGGTTCTCCGAACCATCACCATCATCCTCATATGATAACCCATCCTACCGTGATTGGTGCATCGGGCCCGAAATCAAAATCTAAAAAACGACCCAAATCTTCGATTAATAACCCAACTTCTCCTGATATTGAAGGAGCCGCGACTACCGTGCGAAGAAAGGGTAGCATTAAAAAACCTAACGGGAAAAAGAATTGTAATCAGGTACGTTTCTTAAATTTCCACCTTTTTGCCGGCTCGCTAGGAGTCATATTCATTTTGTTTTTGAGTGAATCGTTAAAATTTTTTATAAATTTTACGCATTTCAGGAAGGTAATGAAAACATGGCTTCCCCACTGGACTCTTTGGAAAGTCCACAAACAGTAAGGAGCATGGGAACGGACAGTCTTCCGAGTCCATATGATTCTGCTAGTTTGTATACAAACGCATTTACACAAATTCACAATTTAGAAAATGGAATGATTGGAAAGCAGCCTCCCAGTTACGAAGAAGGAGCTTTGCAAACTCTGCACGCATTGGGATTGGACCCGTCATTTAACGCTTTCGGATTGCCTTTTAGGGATATTGCCCATCAGGTTCGTGACAAGGAATTTCCGTGGGTTTTTTTTTTTTCCAATTTACAACACAGTAATTCATTTAATAAATTTTTTTTCAACAGTTACATCAGAGACAGACGTCTTTACCGGTTCCGATTCCGGGGTCTCACACTCTTTCACCCCCGTACAGTAATCATCAGTCGCCGGGATCTCAATTGACGCTATCCCCGTTGGGTCAGGCGACGCAGTCACCGGGTTCTCAACAGAGTCTGAGTCCGGTGACGTCTTCTTATTTAAGTTCGCCGTCTCCTGCAAAAGCAAGACCTTCTCTCCCCACGAGCCCGACGCACATTCAAGCCATGCGAACCGCAACGCAAATGAAACACGGTTGCATGGCTCAACAGGGCTTTGATTTTGCTGATCTCCCTCCACAAATGTACACAGTAACTAGTTTGCCGGTAAGAGTTTTTCTTTTTTTTTTTTTTTTTTTTTTTGTAAGAGAACGACTAAATGTCGTCAAATAATTAATGAATGGCATCCTAACACAAAAAACATATTTACAGTCTCCTCAGTTCACATCAAAGACTACAACAAATACCAACAACAATCCAAGTACAAATGTGCCTCTCACGCAAGTTCCGAAGCAGAACAATCCTCAACTCGGAGGAGGTCAACAGCAGCCTACACTCCAACAACAGTATTATCATTATTTGACGCCTCCGAGTCAGGACAGCGTGGATGGAACTCCTCAGCATTTAGAAAATTTTCCAACGCCTTCGCCGGAGAGTCCAGGACACTGGTCGAGTTCATCACCCCGTTCGAATTCGGATTGGTCCGAGGGACTCTCGAGTCCAAACGCTTACCTTCAACAAAAGAACAAAGGCTCAGACGCCATATATCTCTAAATATAAAGCTCGAAAAGCTTTACGAACAAAAGGGGGAAAAAAATAAAAAATAATAATAATAATAATAAAAGTTGTTAATTATAACTTTAAAGACTGGCGAAAGGGGGGGGAGGAGGAGGAGGAGGAGAGAATCCTTCGATCTAACGCATAATTTTGCGAACGGTTAAGTATTCATAGAATACTTTTTTTTTTTTTTTTAATCGACTATATTAATTTTAATAATTTTTTTTTTTTTTAAAGTTAGTTTATTGTTTTTTTTTAAAGTAAGTAAAATTTTCTGTAAATAATTTTTTATACATTAATTTTATAAATAAAAAAAAAAAAAATTTTGCTTTATTGACGAATGTAATTATATAGTACGGAACAAAAAATAAAATAATTTTTGTATAATTTTTATATATTAATTATTAATTAAATTCCTTTTATTCAACCGACGGTTTTGTTGATGTGACTGACGTGGAATAGCAGAATAAAAAAGATCGTGTACGTAAAACGTCTAGAGTCACGTCGTAGTTCAATTTACACGTCTTTCGCAAATGATGGTTTACCGTGTGGTTTTTCCATTGGTTTAGTCTGCAGTCATTTGCCGTGGTTGGAAGTGATTAAACGTTACACATTCGCATTCAAGTAATTTTTTTTTGTATTTAAATAAGAATATATATTTGAAAAAAATATGGCTCAACAGTATTATCCGTACAAGGTAAAAATATATATTTATATATTTAATGATGGGGATTGTTTAAAATGAAAAATTCAAAATGAATTCGAATCGTTCGAGATGTGATTCATTTAACGTTCTCACGCCCATATCGTGTACCCATTACTCATCGATTACAACCAGTATATTTTTAGGGATAATGAAATTTATTTGGGTCAGGGTTGAAGGACATTTTTTTATACATATTTATCTCGTTCGTAACACAGTTATTAAATAATAATAATAATAATAATAATACTAAAATGTAATAAATGTAATGAAGATTAAACGTAACTTAAAAGATTATTATTATTATCATTATGAACATGTCGGTGTTTTACACGGTATACGATAACTCGATTTGAAAATTTTCTTAGAATGTAAGTCACGTGACTATTAATATTAGGTAATGCCTAAATATCATTACTAACCGTACGTGAAAATGTCAGTGAATTGAAATAAATAACGAATGACACAGTACCGAAGTTAAAATTATTATTATTATTATTGTTTAGTTAAAAATAATTTAAACAAACGTTCGAATTCCGTTGAAAAAAATTTTAACCGTTTTGCAAATTTACTCGTCGCCCTTTGTTTGTCATAGCGATTATTATCATTATTCTTTTGTTAGCATTTCATTCTTCTATTATTATTATTCTCGTCCTGTTCAAATATCAATCAAGAGTTTTTTTTGTTTCTAGTGTCAACCGACTGTGTTTCCCGCGGATCCTTTCAATGCACAAGATGACGCGACCATACTTAAACAAGCAATGAAAGGTTTCGGAGCGGATCAGAAAACGATTGTCGAAATTTTGGGTAACAGAGGAATCGTACAACGTCTCGAAATTGCGGAAACGTACAAGACATTGTACGGTAAAGATTTGGTGAAAGATTTGAAAAGCGAATTGAGTGGAAAGTTGGAGGACGCCATTGTTGCTCTCATGACTCCTCTGCCTCAGTTTTATGCCAAAGAACTTCACGATGCCGTGAGCGGATTGGGAACGGATGAGGAAGCCATTATTGAAATCCTTTGCACTCTCAGTAATTACGGAATTAAAACCATAGCTACTTTTTATGAGAACAGTATGTCGATTATTTTTTATTGTTCGTTTGTTTGTTTGTTTGGAAAAATATTCAATGTTTGTCTCGTTTCAGCCTACGGTAGATCGTTGGAAAAAGACCTGAAAGATGACACGTCCGGACATTTTAAAAGATTATGCGTTTCTTTGGTCCAGGGAAACAGAGATGAAAACACGGAAGTTGACAAGGAGGCGGCTTTGAGCGATGCACAAGCTTTGGTGTCTGCTGGAGAAGGACAATGGGGAACGGATGAATCCGTTTTCAATTCCATTCTCGTTTCGAGGAGTTACCAACAGTTGAGACAAATATTTTTGGAATATGAAGAATTGACGGGTCACGACATTGAGAAAGCAATAAAAAAAGAATTTTCCGGAAGCGTTGAAAAGGGAATGCTTGCAATCGGTACAAGAAACTTTTTACACAATTCGCTGTTGTTTTTGTTATTATCATTATTATTATTATTGTTATTGTAACTACAGCAATCGTTTCCTCTTGTTGCAGCAAAATGCGTGAAAAGTAAAATTGGATTTTTCGCCGAAAGGTTATACTACAGCATGAAAGGACTCGGTACGAATGATAAAACATTGATAAGAATCATCGTATCACGTTCGGAAATAGATTTGGGTGACATAAAAAAAGCATTCGAAGAAACCTACGGTAAATCCTTGGAAAGTTGGATCGAGGTAAATTGATGACGATGAATTTAAAAAATTTTGTCATTAATTGACTTTTCACACGAGGGGGGGAGAAGGGGGAAGGGGGAAAGGGAAGGGGAGAAGGAAAGCAATAAAATGAGTCTTTGAAAAATTGTCGCAACCTTGCAAAAAATTATATTCTTTTGACATTTAGACGTTTTCAACTCTCAAGGTTAATTCTTATCGAAATAAATAAATAAAACGGTTTGGAAAATAAAGAAAAAGAAAATGAAAAAAGAAAGAAAATTTTAACGATAAAAAACTTTTGGTCTCTCTCTCTCTCTCTCTCTCGGGAAAAAAAAATATTTATTTAAAAAACAAATATTTATTTAATTTTTTTGCGGAGAGGAAAAACAAGAAAACAATGGAAGGGATCGTGGGAATGTTAAATTAAAATGTTATCGGGGAGGGAAAAAATAATAATAATAATAATGATAAATAATATTTGTTTTTAAATTTTCGATAAATTCCTGTTGGGAAATGTATTACAGGGCGACACGTCGGGCGACTACAAGAAACTTCTACTCACATTGGTGGCTTGAAATTGTTGCAGGGCGAAACAAGCGGAGAATTGAAAAGGCTTCTCGTGTCATTGGTCGGATAAAAGATGGTAGAAAGTTGATAAACAAAAAAAAAAAAAAAAAAACAAAAAAATTTAAAAAAACTTTAAAAAAAAAAAGAAAAAAAAAACATGTAAAAAACGTGTCAAGCGTCGAGAAGAAAAGAAAAAAAGAAAAAAGAAAACAAAATGGCGGTATTATAACTACTCGATTGTTCCACGACGTTCTCACAGATTCCACAATATTTTTTCAGTATTCATTTTTGTATTAAAAACATAAAAACATGAAAAAATTTACATAAACACTCAGAACTGTAAGTAAAAAGTTTTGGGGATTCCCAAACGGGGGTGGGGGAGAAAGAGGGGAAAAGAGAAAAAGGAACTTTCGGTAATTCTTTTATCTATTTTCCACAGGGAAGAGACGGGGGAGAGAGAGAGAGAGAGAGATACAAAAAGGGTAACAAAAATACAAAATTAAATATTTGATCAAACGATTGTTTTTTTTCTTCTTCTCCGTTTTGAACGTTTAGAAATAAGTTACCTTTCTCTCTCTCTCTCTCTTTTTAAAATTATTTTTTAATTAATTTTGTAGGGATTCCCCTCACCCCCCGCTGGGGGAACAAAAAATTAAATGATTTAATTCATTCCGACCCGTTTAGTACCTATATAAATATCTATTGAATCATGTTCTTTATTTATTCATATATGTATTTGTTTGTTTGTCAATGAGTTTCACGGTCACGTGTTTGTCTTATTATTATTATTATTGTTGTTATTTATTATTACTTAATCATTATTTAACCTTCATTCTAATCAATCATAAAAGACGAAGAGAAAAAGATAGAGAGAGAGAGAGAGAGGGAAAACTATAAAAACTTGCCGAATTCACGTCACAAATTATCAAATCCGAATTGAGACGAATATTTTTTTAAATGTGATAAATATATTATTTAATTCGCTGATAACGATGATAACAGCAGAAGCAGAAGAAAATACCAACAGCAAAATCGTTTTTTTTTTTTTTTTGTGTTTGTTTTACTCATAATGTTACTCGTATAATTTTTTTATTAATTTTTTATCAAATTTTTTAAACATTATTCATCTTCCGACATGGAACAAAAAAAAAAATTAATAAATAATAATAATAATAACTCACGCTTGAATGTTTAATAAAAAAAAAAATAATAATAATAATAATAAGAATAAGAAAAAAAATATATATTTATAATATTATAAACGTTGATTTTTTTTTTATAATTAAAAAAAAATAATAATAAGAAATTTGCTTATCACGCGTTTTATTATTTATTAATTATTAAATAATAATTATTATTATTATTTATATACATACATACATACATAGATAGATACATAAAATTATTTATATATATTTTTTTATATTTATAATCTCTTAATGTGATGAATTTTTAAAAGAAAAAAAAAATTAATTAATTAATTATATTTTAAATGAACGATATTTGATTATAACGTCGCGATGTTGATGATAATGATAATGATAATAATATTAGCTTTTGCCTTAAACGTTTAAATAATAATAATAATAATAATATCGTCGTGTTTGTACGCCATGTGCATATGTGTGTTGCTTTTTTTATTTTTTTTTGTTAATTTTTTTTAAAAAAATGTAATAATCCATTTCATCAATCATTTTGATATTAATTAATAAATATTTTGGTCGCGTTTATTTTTAAAAGATTTGTCTGAGAGAGTTCATTGACCCTTAAATTAAAATTTGTCGCCGATTTTTTTTGTTTACAGTCCCATATTAATATTTAATAAAAATTTATTAATTATTTAATTAATTTTTATATTCGCACCCTTTTTTTTTTTATATAAAAATTGAGAAATTATTAACAATAATAATAATGATGATGATGAATATTATTAGTTTGTTCATAAATAATTAAATATAAATTATTATTATTATTATTATTATTATTTTAAATAAGGTATTAATTCTTATTTAATAAATTCTTATGTATTGAAATATTTTTTTTGTTTATAATAATTTTTATTTTAATGTCGATAAAATTTTTTTTTTCTTTTCTCTTTCTTTCTTTTTTAAATTCACATAAAAATTACATAATAAATATTTTATTATTATTATTATTATTTAAAATTACTGACGGGAGGGGGGGAGAGATAGAGAGAGAGGGAAAATGAAAATAAAAAAAGAGAGAGAGAGAGAGAGAGAAAAAAAATTTATTTATTTTTTATTTTTGTGTGTGTAAAATTTTATGTATCTTTTATTATATTAGAAAAAATTTTTTATTAAAAACCATAACAAAACGATGATGATGATAATGATGATGCCGATGATGATGATAATAATAATAATAATAATAATAATGAAAATGAAAATGTTATTAAGAAAAGTCAAAATCCTCTAAATCTATTCCATCGAGAACTTCTTGGACCATTAATTTTTCAGATGGGGACAATTCTTTTTTTTTTTTATTAATAAAAACTTTATCATTATCATTTTTATTTTTATTATCGTTAACATTTGTTTTTTTTATATTTTTATCATCTATTTTGTTTTCATTGTTGAATTTTAATTTTTTTTTTACATCATTCTCAGAAATGATATTATTATCATCAATCGGTTTTGAATTGAATGTAATTGAATTCATCAATGATTCATCATCATCATCTTCATCGAAATCATCAAAACTAAAATTTAAATCTTGAAATATTTTCTTCTTTTCATTTTCTTCTAATTCATCATAAACGTCATTTTTTCTTTTCTTATCTTGTATGACTATCTTATCAGGTGTGAAAGTATTATCATGTGATTTTTTATGCATGTTCATACCCATGTTTCCTACTTGCCAGTCTGTACAACAATTTTTTAAATCTATTTCTGATATTCCATTTATTTTTTTTACCAATATTCCTTTATCTTCATCTTCCACATATATTGTTAAAATATTTTTCTTTGATATGAATAATGTTATGGGTGGTCTTGTGGTACACGAAGTCATTACTGGTACCTGGGAGTAAAAATTTATTATTTTATATTTAGCCCTTAATCGAAAACCTTTAAGGAATCTGTAATTCATGTCATCATACCTGAGTTAATGCAAATGCTGAATTCACTTTAACATCTCCTTTTATTTCTTCCCAAAAATCTCTTTGAATAACAGCATTAACAACCGATGTGGGATCCATTAATTTTAATGTACCTTTTTGTTTTTCTGATATCGATGAAACGAGTACGCTGAGAAAAGGAACTTTAACATCTCTTTTACCACCTTTGACTATTATTTTTGAAACTCCATCAATTGTTAAATGATTCAATGGATTATCCAAAGTATTTAAATCATAATCTTGTATTAATTTTTGATAACATGGTTTACTCAAGACTAAATTCGAATATTGTGATCCTAACAAAATTGAATTGCTATTGCTTGTTCCTTTATCATCGAATAATATTTTTTCAATTTTTCCCGATGGCTGAAAATAAATAACTTATATTTAAAATAAACACAAGAAAATAAAATAAAGTATAAAAATAATTATTAAAAAAAAAATACCAATTCAGATAAATATCCAGCAGGACCTGGAAATTTTCTTTTACAATTTGACAATAATTTTCTATAATCATTTTGTTCGACATTTATTTCACTCGAGTTAAACATGATTTGTAATTTTTAATTGTAAAATACTATAAAAATACTTGCAATACTATAAATAAGTATTTAAAATATTCATTTCTACATTAATTAAACAAAAAATTAAATTGTAATCATTGATTCTTTTTTACCTGGAAACAAATAAAATTAATAAAATAAGTTTTTCTTTTTCATTGCTAATATATATAATTTGAAATCATTTAAATAAAAATAATTAAGGTATATCAAAGCAAAAAATTAAATTCTGTTGTATAAGACATACTTGAAGATGTAAAATAATATTCTACTATATTTCCTTATTTTTTCTTTCTTTCTTTTTTTTTAATTATGTACAATTATTATAAATATCTGGTGACATGCTAATCTGTAACGAATTTTTTATGGAAAAATTTTTCATGCATATAATAATAATAATAACAAATTAACACTAGCGACCTCTATATTTAAAAAAATTAATTAATAACGGAACAACAAGTGAATTAAAATGTTATGTGAAATTTTTTTTCTTTTTTTAAATAAAATAATGGTGGTTATTGTTTTTTAAAACAAATTAAAATGTTTTTACAATCGTAAGGTTTTGTAAGGACGTCATTTTACAAGTAAGGTTCGTGTTGTGTTGTAGTATAATCATTTAAAAAAAAAAAATTTGTTTGACACAACTGATTGTTTGTAGTAGTGTGTGCATACCTTAAAATTTTTTTTTTTCTTTTTGCATCATCGTGTTAAAAAAATAGGTTCTAATAAAATTGAAGTGCTTTTAAATTATTTTCATCATAAATATTCAGAAAACGTTTATTATTATTATTATTATTTTTTTCTCGCAGGCATCTGTCAAATTTTGTTGATTCAGCAAAAAAGCGAACGCTAAAGGATTTTATCAAGATAAGATTTATGGCTAACATCAACGAAACGGTAACGGTTTTAAATTATTCATTAAAATTTTTTATTTTTTTCGATATTATTTTTACTTTATTTTATTTATTTTTTTTTTGGTAAATTTAAATAAAAAACATTTTCGGGAATTTTTTTTTATTAAAAATTATATTCGGCATCTATAATTTAATAATTAATAATTAGAAATTAGAAATTTGTAGTCGTTGCCTTTTTTTTAATAGCGTCAGCCGCCATCTTGGTTTTGTGCATTTTTGAAATTTATGAATAGGTTAAATTAATAATAATTATAAACAGAAATTGAAAAAATAAAAAATGTGAAATAAATTAACATCGTAAAATGAAAAGCTGGAGAAGAAATAAAAAAAAAAAAATCAAATTGTCAAATTTGTAAATAATGTAAAAGTCAAAAAACAAATTGTTAAATATTTGTTAAGAGAACAAACTTTCAATTTAACTTGTTTAAATATTGTTTCAATTAATTATTTATCTTAAAATAAGAAAAAAAACATTGTATTCGATTTATATATATATATATATATTGTTTATAAAACTTTTTGTAAGTAAATTAAAAAGTTTTTTTTTTAAATTTTCATTTCAATGGAATTACAAAACAAAATGGCAGAAAAATAATTTAACAAACAGGAAAAAAAAAAAAATTTAATTTTTTTTAATTATACTTTTTCAATAGTTTTTATTAAATTTTTGATTTTAATAATAAATTACTGATAAGTAAGATAAAAAAAAAAAAAAGTTAATGTAAATGCCAGCCAGGCAAGCGCAGATTGCTGATTGTTTTTTTCTTTTTTGTTCTCATTCCAATGAAAATTGTTTGTAAAACTTTAAAATTTTGTTAATTAATTTATTTTTATTTTTTATTTTTATCTTTTTTAAATTTGAAAATTATTTAGTTTCATATTGTGAAAAGGTTTTTTTTTTTTTTGTTCCATTTATAAATTTTTTTTTTCTTTTATTTTTATTATCACAAATTGTTTTCATTTAAAACATCTGACAATGTATTTATCTTTATTGACTTAGATAAATTTATATATTTTATAAAAGCGTAAATGAAAGGTGAAAAATTAATAAATCAGGTTCGAAAGGTGAAAAAAAAGGTGAAAATAAAACGTTCGTTTTTGTATTTTTAAAAATAAATTTAACAAGAACGCTCACAAACGTTTTTAAAGAAAAATTTACATATGAAAATAAAAATAATAATTATTTTATTATTATTATTATTATGTTTTATTTAAAACAAATATTAAATAAATGTTAATTAGATGATAAATCTAATTAATTTTAAAATAAATCGATTACAAGAATTTTTCAAATCGATGATGAACAAAAAAAAAAAAAAAAAAAATGCGCGAAAACGATAAGATTTAAAAATGTAAACAACGTAATAAACGATTGTTGATTTGAATCGGTGCGGGGAAAAATTTAGGGGAAAAATGTCGGAAGATTAAGTGTCGCCAACATAAATTTTTAAAATTTTGAAAAGAACGAATCGAATGGTAACAAGTAGTAACAGATCGTTGTGCGTTTAGCAAGTTCTTTTGTTTTATATCGAATAATTAATGAGTAATAATAATAATTGCATAAAAATATTTAAATAAATAAAATGTTTACCTACGTTTTTTTAAAATAAGTAAAAAGTAAAGGGAATAATTTAAAAGGAAAAGGAAAAAAAAAGGTAAATGGTAGAAAATGTAAATTTTTCAAACCTGCCACACATTTTTAGTATGCTCTTTTAAAAATTTAATTTTTTTTTTTTTTTTTTTTTTTTTTACATTTTAAATGTCAAATTTGTTTAAGGTAATAAATAAAAAGCTGATTTTTTTTTTTTTTTTAAATAAAATAAAGTTACTGACAAAAATTAAAAAAAAAAAAAAAAATTTAATTCGAAGGTTTGTTTGTTTGTTTGTTTGTTTGTTCGTTTTTTTTTTTTGCTTAATTTTTAATTCGTTATTTTTTTTTTTTTTTAGGTTCGTACTACAATTAAATATTTATAAAAATTGTATACATTTTGTACTAAAAAAGGAAATCAGTTATTCCCTTTGATTAAAAATAACGACAATGACAAAAAAAAAGAAAAAAAAAATTGGAAAATTTAAATTTTCAGGTACGTTTAAAGTATTTAGTTGTATTTTTTTTTTTTTTTAAATCTAATTACAAAAGTGATTGTTGTTTTTTAATTTTTTAAAATAATTTATTAGTAAGTACATAAAATGATGTCTGTGTAAAAAAAAAAAAATAAAACTGCAAGTAATTTAAATAAAAAAATTTTTTCTGATATATATATATTTTGAAATGAAGAGATTTTATTTTCCTTTTCATTTTTTTTTTTAAGGTTAAAATAACAAAAAAACATAAAAAGTCTTACGTAAGCTCTAAAAGTTTTAAACTTTTAAGATTAAAACTTATTATTTTTTTTTTTCTTTTCTAAACTGAAAAGT